GGTTCGAAATCTTCTTCAAAAAGAGTACATGATCTGTCTCCCCAAAAGCAATCAATAAAATCCTTTCTAAAGCTCTCTGAATTCTCAAAAACTAAGATAAAAAAACCAACAATGGCTGAAAAACCTAATAAATAGAGGCTAAACACGATATGTGGCCTTCTTGCAAATACTAGAACTTCTGGGTCAATTCTGTAAATAATGCTCCATTTTTTAATAAACCAGCCACGACCCCTTCCCTTCTGGGTGACGAGCGTCACCAAAGGTGGTGACGAGCGTCACCCATCTCTGATTTCGTCTTCTGAGTTGTACACTTCGTGGCTTCATCTTGCAATGCTCCAAAAAGCTCTAAAGCCTCCAATTATGCTTCAGACGTGCTATAACCTGCAAAGACTCTACTAGGACTCTAAAAAGACCAAAAAAACTCAATAAAAAAGGATTTATATCATGGTTAAAAACCATAAAAACCATGATATATCAGTCTGTTTGAGCTTTGCAGGATTTATGGTTTCTCTGACCATCCTACAGGCGTTCTCTTTCCATCGCAGTGGACCCACATGCAGACATTCTGGTCCAAGTTCGGGAATGGAGTCTACGAGAGCAAGACGAGTACGCAGACAGACGTTCGACATCCAGTTATCAGGTATATTCTGCGCTTTCTAGGCAACACCATCTTGTACAAGTCTGCGTCGAGCAAGATGCGTGTCAGTGAGCTGATCCTGCTTTACTACGGCTTTGCCGAGATGTTGGATGATGAGATCCCGATAGACAGCATGGTCCGCGCCAACTTTGGCGCTATTTTCGCTGAGGACTTAGTCTCTCTGAAGACCAAGCCATTCACCAGCCTGGGGGAGAAGAGTGAGAGTGTGGGTAATCTTCTTACACCCATCTTCCAGCATTTCCAGATCGATATATCACCTTGCAGCATCATTACTAAAATATCCCTTATGGATGACACGCATCTGCGCAATGCTACTTGGTTCAAGCAGCGATTGGTCTGGACATTCACTACTACCACTGAAGAGTATGTTGGCATACAGTTGCCCAGCCCACAGTACACGACGATCCAGGGAGATAAACAGCAGCTGTGCTTTCTGCCAGTTCTGAGTTTGCTGCGCCTTCTTCTACAGCGCCCTAGAGGAGCCATTGCTGGCGTTTCTCCTCTGTTGCTGCTGCTCAGGCTGGACTATCCAGATGTCAGGCTCCATCCACGACCACACCCTCTGCTTTCAAGCGCCCTCCGCGACCTCAGACACCCATGGACATGACTGCTTTTTAGGAGTACATCATTGACAGCCACACTCAGCAATTGTGGTTGTGTCCGCCCACACTACACCACTGAGCCTTGTGAGGATGAGGACTAGATCCTCTACTATCTGGTTACTTGTTTCTGTTTCTCTTTTCTTTTATTTCTCTTGAGTCATTTTAATAATTTTCTTTGAGTCAGTTGTCAGTTACTTTGATGATGTTTTCTGAGCTTGTGTAACCAGGTTTTATTGCTATGTTTGGATGTTATTAAATGTGTGTTTGAGTGCTCTAACAGTCTGACTTTAGAGTACAAATGATAACATAACGTTTAGCTCATCTAACTTGTCGAGATTGGAGTTCCAGACGCGGTGACGCTCGTCACCCATCACTTCGCGAGGTACCACTTTTCTAACTTGGTTCTACACATTCACATGCTTCTTTTTGACCAACTCTTGGCTTTATAACATTGGGGACAGTGTTGTTTAAGTCTGGGGGAGGTGGTTACTGACGTTGTATACATTGTGTTTGATTTTTAGAGTCTTAAATTTGAGTCAAAAACCTGTTTTATGTAGTCAAAATTTTGAAACTGTCAGTTTTTCTTGGAACTAACCACAGAACGTTGATACTTATAAGAACCATTGCCACAGTAGTTGATTACAAGTCTTACTAAGTTGAAAGTCATAGGTAGATCAGTCTAGCAATGAAGGTTTTTAGGTTCTTAGAAAATCTGGAAAATTTGCTGTTAGCTCCACCTTAATGAACTTTAAACTTCTTATCTTCGGGCTTGATTCTCATTGATCTTGATTCTCCCTTTCAACACTGACAAGTATGTTTAGATGTAGTCTCTCTTTGATCTTCCCTGATACAGCTTTTAAGAGTTCAAGTCTATAGAATGGTGCATTCATGACCATGTCTCCTAACAAGGAACAACAGTAATGAATACACTCAAGAACCTGTCTCCTCACAAAGAACACAAGTATTGAGTAACACCTTATCTTATACTGTAAAAAAATGAGAAAAGAGTTGAATAATCGAAAATATTCTAAAGAAAAAGATCAAGAGAAGAGAAAATAGGAGAGCTGTGTTGAGATTGCTTTGTTTAGTTGTTTAGAAAGGGAAAGGAATCTATAAGTGATGGAGATGATAAAACATTGATGAGATATCACACTTAGATAAAAATAAGGAGTTCGCAGCAGAGATTTTGAATTTCTTGAAGCAGCTTGAACTGGATTTGAGAGATTTGCTAAGCTTGTGATGATTAGACTAAAATTTGATCTTGTGTTGACTCTGTGGTATGTGGATTTGAAAGTGTTAACCAATGTGGTGTTCCTTATGTTTAGCTGACTGTTTCTGTTTTCAAACCTCGACCCTATTCTTTGTCTGATGTTTGCTTGAGGGCAAGCAAAAGCTAAGTCTGGGAGAGTTTATATATCATAGTTTTTATGGTTTTTAACCATGGTATAAGTCATTTTTATTGAGTCTTTTTGGTCTTTTTAGAGTCCTAGTAGAGTCTTTGCAGGTTATAGTATGTCTGGAGCACAATTGGAGATTATGGAGCTTTTTGGAGTATTGCAAGATGCAGCCACGAAGTGTGCAACTCGGAAGGCGAATACAGAGTAGGGTGACGCTCGTCACCACTCAAGGGTGACGCTCGTCACCACTCAAGGGTGACGCTCGTCACCCGTAGATGGGAAGGAGTTGCGACTTCTTGTTAAAAGATTGAAGATTATTTTCACTCTGCCCCCTGAAGTTCTACTAATTACAAAAGTGTTACAGCTCGTGTTTTAGCTTTTATATACTAGTTTTTCAGCCATTGTTGGCTTTTATCTTAGATTTTAGAATTCAGAGAGCTTTAGAGAAGATTTTATTCATAACTTTTGGGGAGACAGATCATGTACTCTTTTTGGAGAAGATTTTGAACCCCTCTATCTTTTATTCTATTCTTTCAATGCAATTTTATTCAGCTATGCTTTGTGATTCCATGATCATGTCTGAGTAATCTGCTAGTTAAGTTAGAGCTTTTCAAAGGTTGATGATGATTTTGTAGAAATCGCTAACTGTTAGGAATATATGTTGGTTCTTCATCTGTGTTTGCTTAAAACCGATTTTCTTAGACACATCATTTGGAATTTTGAAACCTAGGTTGTTTAATAGATGTGAGAGCATTATTGATAACCTGATCTAGTATTAGATGAGCAAAACGACTTAGTGCAAAGAGATTGGACTTAGGAGTTTTGTGAACAATTGAACTTGATCATTACTGCATGTTTAGGTTGTTAGAGTTTGCAAAGAGATTTGAAACTCTGTGAGTTAGACATAGTTAACTTCTGCAATGAGAATTGATTAGTTATATATTTGCGATTCATGTTCAAGACGGTTCTTATTCATTCCTGATTTCATGCATTCTACACTCTCAGATTCAACCTGTGAATTATCCTCACTTAGCGCTTTTAGTTTTATGAGTCTTAGATCAAATCAAAATCACATACTTTCATCTTATTAGTACATACACTACTGATCGCTTAGCTTAATCCGAACTTAAATTCTATAGTGTAGTTTACTTACTCCTTTGGGATTCGATAACCCCATATACTACAACTATTTTGTTGTGCATTTACAGTAGTTTTTATTTGGGTAAAGCCTGAGCCCTATCATGTATAAGCATGTTTAGCTCCAAGTCAGCTTCTATATGGTCCCTCTTCTCTGGTATAGCTAGCATGATACTGATGTCCACATCAGATTGTCCCTCTTGAAGAGGTTTTGTACTCAAAATCAATAGCATTTGCGCCAAGTAAAGTTAAGTAAGATTTTGTATAAAACTCATAGTTTAGAAACTTACTTTAAGATTTTTCTGATTTTTCTGGAAATAAATGCTGAATAAGTGAAGGGAATGGAATGTTTCTGGCTTCAGCAAGCTCCAATGTTGGTTTCGGCTTCTGTAAGGGTCGTTTCTCCTTGTTAAACATCATGTTTTCATCCCTGTTTCCCACATTTTTATTTTTATTCTCCATGTTTTTGAGGTTTTGCTTCTTTAAACTTGCATAAAACTCTTTTGGCAAAGACAAATGCATAATATCTCGTGGATCAAAGTTTAAAAATTCTTATATTGCAAAATAACTAGTTGTAGTGTTAGTATCTTGCTTAGCTCTCACTTGCATAACTTTAATGTCTTTTTGAGCTAAAGGGACCAGAATGTGCTTATTGTGGTTAATGGTGAAGGACTACTCATTGGTTCTGCCATTGTGGATTACTTCTCTATCATATTATCATGGCCTTCCAAGTAAAATATGGCCAGCTTGCATTAGTGTAACATCACACAGTATTTGATCTCTGTATTTGCTAATGCTGAGTGGTATTTCAACTTGCATAGAAACTTTCAGCTCTTCTTTGTCATTCAGCCACTTGAGTTTGTAAGGTCTTGGATGATGTTCTGTGGTAAGACCAAGTTTTTCTACTAGAGAAACACTAGCAATGTTAGCACAAGAAGCACTATCAATAATCAAATGATATACTTTGTCTTTGAATGTATATATTAAATGGAAAAAATTCTATTTGCCCCTGATCTTCTAGTACTTGTTGTAAATTCAAAGCTCTTTGAATTGCTAGAAGCTCTCCTTCTTCTGTAACTTAGGTTGGCTCTGGTGCTCGAGGTGGTGGTGGTATATCAGATGGCCTTAACTCTTTGTATTGTTGATGTGGTTTGTTTAGCAAACTGGTTGCTTCAACCCTTCTTCTTTCAAGGCATAAAAGGTGGTTGTCCATTAACTTAGTATAGGCTGGAACAGTGATTTTTAGGGTATTAAGATTTTCAATCAAGGTTTAATTCATAGCTTGCAACATGGCCATCATGGTTTACATATAATCTGCTGGTGCAGCCGACCGCAACTAATTGCTATGAGCAAGTGTGGAATCTAAAGACGATGCCAAAAATTAAGATGTTTCTGTGGAAAACATTACATGGGGCTATTCTGGTTGGGGACCGCCTAGCAGCCAGGAATATTCAAGTGGACATAAAATGCTGTAGATTTGATCAACCCGAGACGATCATCCACTTATTATACCATTGTCGATATGCGTGTGAGGTCTGGTCAGCAGCTCCTTTTGCTTCGATCGTTGATGCAGGCCAGGTGACAGATTATCGCACTGGCTTGGGTACTGTTAAATCCCTGGTCCTGTTACCTCCAGTAGGAACTGAAATTTGATCCCTCTCCTCTTGCATTTGCTGGGGAATCTGGACATCCAGAAATCAAAAATTATTCAGTTCCAGAGAGATCACTGCCCAAGAAACTGTCTGTAAAGCTATGAAAGCCGCAAGAGAATGGTACCTGGGACAATATCTGCCACCGTCTAAATCCACAATCGAATCAAAGAAAAACCAGCCTCAACTGGAGGATGATAGGGCGGTGAAGTGCTATACGGATGCGGCGTGATGGGAAACTCCCGTGATGCAGGGTTAGGATGGACGTTTCCATTTCCGGGAGGCAGATCCGAGAAAGACCAAGCTTCTAAACGCTTTGTCACCTCGGCCCTAGTTGTAGAAGCTCTGGCAATCCGAGAAGCTTTAATTGATGCTGTTACGAAGGGGATTACCCATTTGAGTCTCTTCTCTGATTCAAGCCATCTCATTAACTCTATCAAGAACAAAGACCAGATACTGGAAGCGCATGGTATAATTGACGACATTTTATCTGTGTGTTTGCGTTTTGATAGTATTAAGTTTTTTTATATCTCTCATGAGGATAGTTTTGTGGATGACGCTATTGCCAAACAAGTCTTAAGTGGCTATTATATACAGAACTCCTACTTTATTCTGAAATGAAAATTTCGTACGTTGAACAAAAAAAACAAAACAAAAAAGAATGAGATTCATCCACACAATAATTAAAAGCATCAAATATATATGATTATGTACATACTATTGTTTTTATTTTTGGCTAAATATTTGTAAGCATAAATTAGATTAATTACAGTATTGTATGAATCTTTGTTATAGTCATGCACATATAAAAAATAGACTTATATAACTTTATATTAAATTTAATATATTACACTTCTATATTTAAAAATAGTATATATATTATATATTATTAATTTAATTATAAATAATCACCAATATGAATGACAAAGAAATTCTATGAAATGCAATGTGTTACGAATTTTGAATTTTTTTGGAAGTTTAGAAATTTGGCAAGGAAACAATTTGGAAAATTGAAAATTTTAGAAATATGCAATGAGGCATGGAAAATTTGGAAAATTGGAAATTTTAGAAATATATGTAAATATTCATGCATTTTATGACTTTGTATAATATCCAACATAAATGTAGCAAGTTTGTTCAATTTTTTTATACAGCAATATATATTGCTTGTTATTTTTATTTAATTTAATTTTGGTATGAAGAAAATTTAAGAAAATAAATCCTATATGAATGGCTAGTTAAACAAAATTTCATGAAATGTTACTTTGTGTAACCTGATAAGCAATGAGGAAGAAAGAGAAACATTTCAAAGATGACACTAAATGTTCTAACAATTAACATCTATATAATCCATTAAAAATAAAAATAAAAACAAAATTCAAAATTAAATCATTTTTCTCCATCTAATCTGAATAAACAAAATGGCATCAAGATCAACATCCGTTCTCCTCCTATCATTTATGTTATCTTGTGAGTTCTTGTCTCTAGCGATATCTCTATAGTAAAACTAAACAAACTGCGAAGCATGTTTAAATATGGTGACTAAATCATTTCTTTTGTAGGTGTAATCATGTTGCTTGTAATCGATGTAGCAAGAGCTTTGCCACTATGCATATCAAAAGATGAATGCAAATCCCATTATGGTATATGGTGTGGTGATGGGAGTGGAAGAACGTGTTTCCATTTTTTTTGTCAAATAGATATGGATTGTAGAAAACTTGTTCGTTGCAATACACCAAGACCTTATTGTAGGAAGGGAGTGTGTAGTTGTTAAAGAAAACCGCATGGTTTTTTATGTAACATGTAATGCATTATTGAAATAAAATAGTTTTGTGACAATTCTGTTCTCTAGATGTGTTGTCGATTTATACACACGTGAATATTCAAAATTTTGTTGTAAGAGAGGTTCGAATTTGTAATCACTTAGTTTATATCCAAGTGTGTACAACATGCTTACTACTATACTAGTCATGATTGATGTCTCCACTAACGTGTATCTAATAAATTTTTAATTGTTTTATTTTATTATGTTAAAAGTTTAAAAAAAGTTTTAATTTTGTTGACAAAAATGTATTACTTTAGAATTTCTCAATATACATTAACATGTGGATAAGAAAATTATTTTATTTGATCACATTTGTTTAGTTTATTGTAAAATAATTGGCTAAATTGATAACAAAAACAAATTATATTAGTTAAAAATAAAAATAAGACAATAATCAATCTAATTCATATAATTCTCCCAATTAAAAAAGAAAATGAGAAAGCGAAAAAAGGCGATTTTTAAGGCGAAAATAAAACAGTTTTCGTTCCGATGTATTTCCACCACCACGGTGATGGTTTTTCAATCTTACGATGACGGCAGGGCAGAATCTCAGGGATTCCCCCACTCTTCTTCGTGCATTCCCACGATAGATCCCACGATCTATTGTGATGACAGTTTTAAAATTTCCCTTATTTTACAAGAAATCTATATATTCGATGAGGAGAATTTCATTCAAACACAAATAATCACTACTCTCCTCTTCAAAAATTATCATCCACTACGTTTTCACACTACTCAAGAAGAAATTGCTGATAATCTCCGCAGAGCCATACAAGATAACAATATCGGCGCGGAAGACCCCCTTTTTGTTCTACCGGCAGCGATTGTAAATCAGGCGATAGCAGCAAATCAATTTGTCATCATTGGGCGTCCAGTCATTCCAAGGAGGCAAAACTTACGCTCGATTGTGGCAAATATGCCACGGATCTGGGGTCTAGTGGGCAACACACATGGGAGAATCATCAAAGGCCGGCGGTTCCAGTTTGTATTCACATCTGAAGAGGCAATGGAGTGGGTTCTTCTTCGAGGTCCCTGGGCGTTTGCAGACCGAATGTTAATCCTCCAACGATTAACCCCGCGTATGAATCCTCTGGAGATGCATTGTATTCCTTTTTGGGTACAGATTCGTGGTATTCCCTATCAGTACCTCAGTCACGATGTCATTCTCCACATTGGACGGGTGCTTGGAATGATGCTTGAAGTGGAATTCAACGCAGAAGTGGTGGCGAGAGTTGAATTCGTGCAAGTGTGCATTGATTGAGACATACATCAACCCCTACGCTTCCAAAGGAATTTCCACCCCTGGAATAAATACTCTGCTCCGGTTAACATACGAACGTCTGCGAGGTTTATGTGAAATATGTGGCATGTTAACACATGATTCGGGCAACTGCCTCATTCAGAATGGAGGGCCAGACCCGGATGACATCGATGGCCACGATGATGGTACGAGTGTTGATGTAGCACCATTGGATAACAATGCAAATCAGGAACAGAGACAAGGAGGCATTATCCTGGAGGGAATCAATGATGATGAAATGGTTGATGATCAGATTCAGGACCGGAGGGACAACGTGGATCCAGATGATGGCATTCAAGAGGCACTGCACGCAGACAATGCAGACGAAACAGGTGTCAACGACGAGATTTCTGAGGAGGAGAATGCGTATCTCCAAGGAGGGATCTATCGAGGTTCTGCAATATTCAACACAAGGGCTCTAGCTAACGAATATGACTTAGATGTCATCCGTTATTCTTACGATGAGAACTCTATCGAGGCGCGAAGGGGGAAGACAACTGCAAAAACAAAGTTCATTGAGGACGCAGACTCAACAACGGGTTTCTTCAACAAAAAGGTCGAGAGAGGAGAAGGCAGCACAACAGCAACGAATGATGACCAAACAACTTCGAGTGGAGGCGTGGTGGGCCCTGAATCACCATTTCCACCATGAGGACAGCCTGTTGGAACTGTCAAGGGTTAGGCCCAGACTTGACGGTTCGACGCCTTAAAGAGATATCACAAAGATACCTCTCGAACATCATCTGCCTATCTGAAACCAAACATCAAGATGATTATGTTAGAGACGTAGGTTGTCACCTAGGTTTTCTTCATTATGCATCGGTGCCACCAATAGGTCTTAGTGGTGGTTTAGCTATTTTCTGGAAGGAAAATATTAAGCTTTATGTTCTTAGTATGTCGCCAAATCTTGTAGATTGTGAAGTTCAAAACAATGAAATTTCTTTTTACCTTTCTTTTATATATGGGCATCCAAATCCGAGTTTTAGAAAATACACTTGGGAGGTTTTAGAACGGTTAGCTTTAATGAGATACGCAAAACCTTGGCTAGCTTTAGGTGATTTCAACGAAATGATAGATAACACAGAGAAGAAGGTTGGCAGAATTAGACCGGAAGTTTCATTTCAGAATTTTAGACAAATGCTTAGACAGTGTGATTTTACAGATGTAGCTGCTACAGGAAATATATTCTCTTGGACTGGTCAACGGGGAGACCATAGAGTTTCTTGTTACTTAGATAGGACTACAGCGAATGGTGTATGGCAACAGCTCTTTCCGGCTTCGGTAACAGAGTTTTTAGAGTTAGCTGAATCAGATCACCGTCCACTCATCACTTTTATCTTTTTTGATTATGAACGACACCGAGGATCTTTCAGATATGATAATCGACTACACAAACAAGAAGGCTTCAGAGATATGGTTATCAAAGGATGGAAGGATGATACCAGAAGATATAACCGAAGTACTTTGTACACACAGATTGTACATTGCCGGAAACGAATAGCTAAATGGAAGAGACAAAATCGTTTTCATTCTGCAGAGCGTATTGCATTACTACGAAGACAAATAGACAGAGGCCTCTTTATAGGAACATCAACAACACTTGAAGTACAACAGCTCAGACGACAACTAAATCAAGCATATATGGATGAAGAATCATATTGGAAATCAAAGAGTCGCATTTCTTGGCTAACTGAAGGAGATAGAAATACCAGATTTTTTCATGCCATCACAAGAGCTAAAAGAATCAAAAACAATATATGTGTGATTGAAGATGCGAATGGAGTTATACATAGAAGACATCAAGATATTGCAAACATTGCAGGCAATTATTTCCAAGACTTTTCTCATCTTCTGGAGTCCATAACTCAATCATGGATGACGTATTTAGAGGATTTCAAGCTAAAGTTACAGAGACTATGAACAACGATTTGATCAAAGAAGTAATAATGCAGGAGGTACGTCACACAGTCTTCAGTATAGGCCCCCATCATGCTCCGGGATCTGATGGATTCAATTCAGCTTTCTATCAACAGTATTGGGACGACATCAAAGAATTTGTTTTCAATGAAGTGAAGCAATTATTTGCTACTGATACTCTGGATCATCAACACAACCACACTAACATTTGTCTGATTCCAAAGGTGCAACCTCCACAAACTATGACGGACTTCCGACCAATTGCCTTGTGCAACGTCTCATACAAAATCATATCCAAGATCCTTGTTACCCGACTGAAGAAACACTTAGCTGGATTAATATCAGAGAATCAAGCAGCATTCATACTGGGACGATTAATCTAGGACAATATTATTATTGCACATGAAGTTTTCCACAGCCTAAAGAAGCAGAAGAGACAAGCCAACTCGTATATGGCACTGAAAAGGGATATTACTAAGGCATATGATCGACTGGAATGGACTTTTTTAGAAGCAACAATGCGACATATGGGACTTGACGAACGATGGATTAAACGGATTATGATATGTGTATCCTATGTTTCCTACTCTGTACTCATTAATGGTTCTTCAGAGGGACTTATACACCCCGCTCGCGGACTCAGGCAGGGAGACCCTTTAACCCCATATCTGTTTATTCTCTGCGCAGAGGTGCTATCTCATCTTATGAATCGAGAGACAGCTGAATCACGACTCCAAGGAGTAAAGCTTGGAAACTGTGGACCACGTGTGCGCCATCTGCTTTTTGTAGATGATTCACTCTTCTTCACTTTGGCCAATTAAAAATCGTGTACCAGCATCAAAAGGATCATACACTTATATGAAACTGCATCGGGACAGGCTGTTAATCTTCGTAAATCTTCTATAACATTCAGTTCCCATGTTAAAAGCGACGTCAAAAGAAGGATACGACATATACTCAGCATTCACAATGAAGGAGGTCATGGAAAATATCTGGGGATACCAGAACAATTTGGACGGAAAAAAGGAGATATGTTTCGCTACATCATAGATAAAGTCAAAGATCGAACACAAGGATGGCACAAGTCGCTACTATCACTAGGAGGTAAGGAAACCCTCATAAAGTCAGTCTCGTTATCCCTCCCCATCTTCTCCATGAATATTTTTAAACTAAATAAAAATATTTGTGAGGAGATAAATACCATCCTAGCTAAATTTTGGTGGGGTTCAAATGGGGGTGCGAAAAAAATGCATTGGTTTGCTTGGCATAGATTGAGCTTACCAAAGAAGGAAGGAGGTTTGGGATTCAGAGACCTGGAAACCTTCAACATAGCCTTACTAGCTAAACAAGCTTGGAGAATCTTGCACACACCTGATTGCTTAATGGCGAAGGTCTTACGAGGAATTTACTTCCCCGATAAAAACATTCTAACTGCGCAACCCCGTCAGAAGGCTTCTTATTGCTATTGCTGGAGATCAATTCTACAAGGACGGGATCTACTTATTAAGGGTATATGTTTTATTATTGGTAAGGGTGAAATCGTTAACGCCATGGGCAGATCAATGGCTTACACTCCATCCTCCGCGACCTGCAAAGGTGCGCACACCGAGACAAGAGAATCTCAATGTCAGTGATTTAATGTCTGAGCATGTATCAGGTAGGGATTTACAGAAATTACATGAAGCTGTACATCCTGACGACATCGACCATATTCTTGCGATTAAACTATGCA